GAACCCAGGCGCGGGTTCGAGGAACCCAGGGCCTGGGTTCCATCGAACCCAGGACGCTTGGGTTCCGAACCCAGCGCCTGGGTTTGAGTCGAACCTGCCTGGGTTTTTTCTTCTGTTTCTTTGTTGGCTGCAGTCATGCTTGGCTATCTTGGAATGGGATTTAGAATTTTGTGTGGCTTTTGATTGCTTGAATTTCAAGATCTAATTACTGTTAGTGTTGATTGAAGAGATGCTATGTTTTTTACATTTTCTTTTACAGATCTGGTACACATTTGCAGAGGAATTGATTTTTTGAATCAGATCTATTGGTCATTATTATTGTGCGAGGAACCAGAAAGAAAAAGAAGGGAAAAAAGAAAAAAGATGATGAATTGAAGAAAGGTTGAAGGAGATCGCGAAAAGTGAGGGATTAGTGAGGTTGAAGATAAGGGTATTTTGGTAACTTCAACAAATATAAAAAATTGAAGATAAGGGATAATTGTGTAATTTTAAGGATAAAATGCCAACTCATACACTTTTACATGTGGTTTTTTCATGTCATTAGTTGAAAAAAAAAAAGCTTAATTTCGTGGCAACTTAACGTGCCATCTGGCACTTCCGTCAACGGAAGGACGAAATTGGTCCCAAAAATTGAAGTTCAAGGATTTTTTTAGTACTTTTTGAAGTTCGAGGGTAGTTTTAGTTCAAAAATGAAAGTTGAGGGACTGAATCGGGGTTTTAACCAAGCCTGATTAACAGTAACAAAGGGAAGTATGGTCTAGCGGGGGACTTCAATGCAGTGAAGGGAATTGAGGAACGAGCAGGAGAGACTGGGATTAGTCGAGAAATGCGGGAATTTGACAATTTTATCAATAATGCTGCTTTGATTGATTTGCCTTTGCTTGGTAGGAAGTATACTTGATACAACTCTAATGGCCAGTATATGAGCAAAATTGATAGATTTTTGTTATCAGAAGATTGGGTCTCCAAATGGGGTGATGTTAAACAATGGGGATTGAGAAGATCAGTATTGGATCATTGCCCCATCTTACTCAAGAATGAGAAGATTGATTGGGGTCCAAAACCGTTCAAATTTTTTGATGGGTTTGAAAAACCAGGATGCATGGAGTTAATCACAAGTGTGTGGAAATCCAGTGAGGTTCAGGGGTAGAGAGGCTTCATACTTAAAGAGAAACTGAAAAGAACAAAGAAAGCATTAAAAGAGTGGAGCCGGAACTTAGCTAAAGAGGTGGATGACAAAGTAAAAGAAGCAGAATCAGTGATAGCTGAAATTGATGAGAAAGGAGAGAGTAACCAACTGACTGCAAAAGATATAGAAAGGAGGAGGAGCAGCTTTATGGTACTATGGAAAAATCTAAGAATTAAGGAGAGGATGTGGCAGTAGAAGGCAAGGAGGATGTGGTTCAAGGAAGAGGATGCGAATACAAGATTTTTTCATAGATGTGTCAAGGGAAGATGGAGAAGAAATGAAATCAGTTGTATTTGGATCAATGGGGAACTTTACATGGGTGTGAAGGAAATAAAGGAAGAAGTGGCTAAGTATTTTAAAGATTTATTCTCAGAAGAGGCATGGCAGAGACCAAAGCTTGATGGGATTAGAGTGAATCAAATATCACAAGCAGATAATGAGTTGCTAGTGGTTGGTTTTGATGAAAAGGAAATTAAAGAAGCAATTTGGGATTGCTGCTCTTCCATATCCCCGGGCCCGGATGGTTTCAACTTCGGATTTGTGAAGAAGATGTGGGAAGTTATAAAGGTTGAGGTGATCGACTTTGTGAAGGAATTTTGGGAACATGGCAGACTTGCAAGGGGATCCAATGCATCCTTCATTGTTCTAATCCCAAAGAAAGAAAATCCACAAGGAATTGAGGATTATAGATCCATTTCGCTCATCGGGATCATGTATAAAATCATCACCAAATTGCCAGCAAACCGGTTGCGAGGGGTGCTACCAAAGGTCATTGGGGAACAACAGATGGCATTTATTGAAGGTAGACAATTAGCCGATGGAGTGGTGATTGCAAATGAAGTCATCGATGAGGCTAAGAGGAAGAGGAAAAAAAGTTTTCTTTTTAAGGCCGACTTCGAGAAAGCATATGATAGAGTGTGCTGGAGCTTTATAGAATACATGATGATGAGGATGGGATTTTCGAAAAAATGGAGGAAGTGGATCCAGGAATGTCTAAGATCAAGTTCGGTCTTTGTTCTCATTAATGGAAGCCCAACAAAAGAGTTCCCGGTAAGCAAAGGCATTCGACAAGGAGACCCGCTATCCCCCTTCTTATTTTTTATTGTGGCAGAAGGATTGAATGGATTAGTTGCTGCAGCAGTAGAGAAGAATCTTTATAAGGGTGTCTCGGTGGGAAATGGAGATACAACGATTATACATTTACAGTTTGCTGATGATACTATCTTCTTTGGGGAGGCTTCTGATGAAAACATAAAGGTGGTCAAAGGGATTATGAGGACTTTTGAGTTGGCTTCAGGGTTAAAAATTAATTTTGCGAAAAGTCAGCTAATGGGGATGGGAGTTGAAGAAAGTTGGACAGCAAGAATGGCATATAGACTGTGTTGCACACAAGGAGAATTCCCACTTAAATATCTTGGAATTCCAATTGGTGGGAATCACAAAAAAACAGCAATGTGGTATCCAATGGTTCAATCTTTCAAAAAGAAACTTGCTAGCTGGAAGGGAAGACATCTATCTCTCGGGGGTTGCATCACGCTTATCAACTCAGTGTTGTCTAGTCTTCTTGTGTTCCTGATGTCCGTTTACTTAATCCCGAAAGGTATTCTTCTTTCCATTGATAAAATTCGTAAAAGTTTTTTATGGGGTTAGGGGGGAGATGACAGGAAGATTAATTGGGTTAAGTGGGAGAAGATATGTAAAAAAAAAGAGGAAAGAGGGTTGGGAGTGAGGGATCTGCGGAAGTTTAATTTGGCTTTGATGGGAAAATGGTGGGGACGGTTGGTAGAAAATAAGGAGGGTTTGTGGAAAAAAGTAATTATGGAAAGATATGGCGATAGAGGGAACCATTGGTTAGGTTGGGTTAAAGAGAATATAGGAGTAGGCTCTATTTGGTGGAGAGATGTGTGCCGAATTGATTCTCTGCATGGAGAGAGTGGAGGGTGGCTGTCGAAGAGTTATAAAATAAAAATGGGTGAAGGAAAAAGTGTTAGGTTTTGGTGGGATCATTGGTGTGGGGAAGGGTGCCTTGCTAATAGTTTTCCAAGGATCTATTTGGTGGAGAGATGTGTGCCGGCTTGATTCTTTGCATGGGGAGAATGGA